CCCAGCTGCCATGATTAGCTGACACCCTCATCATTCCATATGCACTAATGAGTCTATCTAACTGGCCTTCCTGCCTCCACTGCCATCCGTCCTCCCCACAGCTTCAGGATTATTCTCTCTAGTCTGCTTAAAGAACAGCCTTGCATGACCCTGCAGAATAAGGCACCAACTCCTGAGCAGAAGGATGAAGCCCTCTTCATCTGCGTCACCCCCAGTCCACAGTTCTGGCCTCAGAGCCCACCTTCTCCCCTTTGAGGCCCACCCCCACCCACCTCCATGCTCCATGTTCCCCTGATACCCAGAGACACTGGCTGGTTTCCCAGACACACATGTACTTTCAGGGCTCAAGTTTTCTGAGCATCTCATCCCTTTTTCTTTTTCTTTTCTTTTCTTTAAGAAGGAGTCTTACTCTGTTGCCCAGGCTGGAGTGCAGTGGTGTGATCTCGGCTCACTGCAACCTCCGTCTCTCAGGTTCAAGTGATTCTCCTGCCTCAGCCTCCGGAGTAGCTGGGATTACAGGTGCCGGCCACTACCCCCGGCTAGTTTTTATATTTTTAGTAGAGACAGGGTTTTGCCAGGTTGGCCAGGCTGGTCTCGAACTCCTGACCTCAGGTGGTCCACCCACCTTGGCCTCCCAAAGTGCTGGGATTACAAACATGAGCCACTGCACGCAGCCATCCCTATTTCTTAAAATGCCTCTGCCCCTTTCCAGTGAGCTCCTATGCATTCCTCAATGACGAGCTATAATTCCTTTCCCTGATAAACGCAGAGTTTGCCCCACTTTCCTTATTGCATTGCTGGTCCTTGTAGACATCCCTGGATTAGTTCTCTTCTCACCCTGGGTTCACTAGGCCTCTGGAAGGGCTGAGGACCCCTTGGGGTCACCTTTGTCTCCCCAGGGCCAGGCCCAGCTCTTTCTACTCTTTGGCTTGGTACATATTGGCTCTTGTGGAATAGAAACAAAGGCTATTTTCCAGGAATTGGGCGGCTTTTGGGAATAGCCAAGGATGCGGAAGTGAAAACATACTTACAGTTTTTACGGTTTTTTTTTTTTTTTTTTTTTTTTTTCCTGAAGCGGCAGTGGAGGGACAGCCTTGAGAAGTTCAGAATTCAGGAAAAATGCAGCTTGAGACCCCAATTGCCTTACAAGGCCCTTTCACTTTCCCTTGTGCCCTGAAGCTGAGTTCAGGGCTCACTGTCGTTGTCCTCAGTTTATTTTCCCTGGTTTGGCTTCTTTAAACTCACTGCTTTTGAGTTCCTGCAGCCGACAGGAAACTCATGAATAGTGTTAGAAACAAAACGTAACACAAGCTAAGGCCTTTTAGTTGGGAGAACATGCTTTATTCTTTCTATTAAATGCTTCTGTGGGCCAGCCTGGTAGATGCTGAATCAATGCTCGTGGATTTCATAGTAGGAAATGTTTGTTTGCAGACCATCAGTGCTCACATTTATAAAGCTGGATTATGGTCCCTCCTGACTTTATCTCAGGCAAGAGTTGAAATTTTGCCATCGTCGTGCTCCTTTCATTTCCTTGTTTAGTTCAGTTTCGCCACCTTGGTGTTGTCTCCCGTTCTTCTCTGGTTCGGCTCAGTCATCCAGGCCCAGCAGCACCATTGCCTTGGATGAGGGTGCGGTGATGCTGGCAGTGTGGCTCTTGGCCCTTGGTGAGCAAGTCTGGTCACAGCAGGGCACAGGGCTGAGGTCCCCAGCTCCAGCAGAGAAGCTCCCCTGGGTCAGATGGTGGGTGACCTACTGGTTAAGGTTAAGGTCAACAGGGCAACTTTTGCTGGGTGATGCCCATGGTAACTGATCTTGCCGATGCTTCTCTGTCTGCTGAGAAGCTCCTGTGACCAATGCTCTTTGGGCACACACTTGACTACCTGGAAGAGCTTAGTCTCTGCCCTACACTGTGGTGTGCCCAGTGCCAGCCCCCTCCCTCCCTTCTTGCTGGTTATTTGTAAATCTGCTTAGTGTCATGGTGGGATTGACCAGCAATGCCAGGAGACAAGGGGGCGGGGTGAGGTGAGCAAATGAGTGCAGGCTTCCCACAAAGTGCCTGTTTCTCCTTAACCACTGACTCGCCCCTAGACTGACACAAATGAAGGGCTGCCCGTGTAGACGGGGAGCTCATGCTGGTCTGGAGCAGAGTGATCACAACGAAAGCAGGAGGTGCCAAGGGTTCTAGATGATGGGCAGGTTGCTGGGATCCAGGTTTCAGAACAGCTCGTTCATGCGGTAAACTCTAGGAGTTGGTTTCATGGAGACCATTTCGGGGAAGAATTGTTTGGGTTCTCAGTGTTGCGACTGTATCATGTAAGCTAGAGAAGTGGAGGAGATGGTTTTAAAAATCCCGTCTGTTCCAATATTTTAGCTAGATAGGACCTGCCAGATACCTAGATCTTTAGTGGATTTCTGTTTGCTCTTAATCCAGGCCACGGAATTCTTTCATGTACAAAGTAAGTGGATAGATTTGCTTTGCTTTCATTTACTCATTTAGTCAACAAATGTTTGTTGGACATTGTGCTGGGCCCTGGAAACATGAGCTCCACACAAAGCCTGTCCTTGGAGCTTGCATCTAAATGGTGACACAGACAGCTACACCATGATGCAGTCAGAGCTTTGAGAGGGTATCTCAGTTTCTTATTGCTGCGGTAACAAATTACCAAACTTAGTGACATAAAGCAACATGAACTCATTCATTTACAGTTCTGGAGATCAGAATCTGAGAGGGGGCCACAGGGCTCTCTATTCCTCCTGGAGGCTCTAGGAAAGAATCTACTTCTTCACCTTTTCCAGATTCCAGAAGCTACCTGTGTTCCTTGGCTCATGGTCTCTTCTTCTGTCCCCAAAGCCAACATGGTAGCATCTTATCTCCCTGACTCTTACCCTCCTAACTCCCCCTTATAAGGGCCCCTGTGATTACACTGTGATCGCCTGCACAAACCAGGATAATCTCCTTGATTAAATCACATCTGTGAAGTCCCTTTGCCATGTCAAGTAGCATGTTCACAGATGCGGGGGGTTAGGTCATGGACATCATTGGGGGCCCAATATTTAGCCCATCACAGAGGCCAGTGCTGGTAACATGGGATTATCTGTTAAAGAGGTCCAGAGGGCCGGGCGCGGTGGCTCAAGCCTGTAATCCCAGCACTTTGGGAGGCCGAGACGGGCGGATCACGAGGTCAGGAGATCGAGACCATCCTGGCTAACACGGTGAAACCCCGTCTCTACTAAAAAATACAAAAAAAAAAACTAGCCGGGTGAGGTGGCGGGCGCCTGTAGTCCCAGCTACTCGGGAGGCTGAGGCAGGAGAATAGCGTGAACCCGGGAAGCGGAGCTTGCAGTGAGCCGAGATTGCGCCACTGCACTCAGCCTGGACAGAGCGAGACTCCGTCTCAAAAAAAAAAAAGAGGTCCAGAGAAGGTGTCTCAGGAGAATGTTATCTAGACCAAGACCTGAGGTGTTACAGCGGGTAGCTCATTAGGTTTGAGCCGGGAAGGAGAGGGCTCCCCACCCCGCCCCACACACTAGGAGTGCTGGATGACCACCAGGTGATGGTCAGGCAGTTGTTAACTGTTTCTCTAAAGGAATGATTGGTCACAGCCAGTGCCAGGGAAAGGCAGGCTCCTCATAGAAAACACCTGAAACCAATCAGCAGCTTCCCAATAAGATCTCAGGAGTAGGAGAAGTAAGGCGAGGTCCCGGAAGTATGCCAGCGTAGAAAACCCCAGGTAATGCGGTCAAGCCTCACACTTGGTTTCTCAGGTCCCCTATGTAGCCGTCTTCCAAGTTGGACTTTGCTTCTTTTCCTTTCCTTACTGTTCTAAAGCTTTTAATAAACTTTCACTTCTGCTCTGAAACTTGTCTGTTTCCCCTCCTGCCTTATGCCCCTCAAATTCTTTCTTCTGAGGAGGCAAGAATTGAGGTTGCTTCAGATCCGTACGGATAACTACCACTGGTAATAGAGGGACAAGTGTGATTTAGCAGAGGGGGAGAAGACCATGATGTATGAAGGCCAGGGAAGGAAAGAGGGGTGCAGTGTCCGGGCTGTGGAGTATGACAGTGACCACGGGTGAGGCTGCTGCAGTCTGCAGGGCTTTGGAGGCCAGGTAGGGCTTCTGAGGAACCAGGTGTGGCTTTTTTTTTTTTCTTCTTTTTTGATCTGGAGTCTTGCTCTGTTGCCAGGCTGGAGTGCAGTGGTGTGGTCTCAGTTCACTGCAACCTCCGCCTCCCGGGTTCAAGCGATTCTCTTGCCCTAGCCTCCTGAACAGCTGGGAACACAGGCGCATGCCACCAAGCCCAGCTAATTTTTGTATTTTTAGTAGAGATGGGGTTTCACCATGTTGGCCAGGATGGTCTCGATCTCCTGACCTTGTGACCCACCCGCCTCGGCCTCCCAAAGTGCTGGGATTACAGGTGTGAGCCACCGTGCCCGGCCCAGGTGTGGCTTTTAATCATGGACAACCCGTGAAGAGATTCGTACTTTAAAGTCATGCAGCCAAGACGAGGCTGAGAACCATAGAACTTCAGAACTGGAAGGAACTTGACAAAGCATTTGACCTAAAAGACCTAAGAAGTAAATGGGCCGAAAGCCCCCAGAGAGGATCCGGATGGGAGGAACCCTCATTCTAGCCACAGCTGTAAGAGCAGAGCTCAGCGGCCCTCAGAGCACTTTGGAGGTAGTACAGTCTTAGTTTTCACAAGCACGCTGTGAGTGCAGACGTTTGCAGTGGAGGAGATAGAAAGTCGGCCAACGAGGCCATGGTCACTCTTTCAGCACCTGGTAAGCCTGAGGCTTCAGCGGAGGCTGCTTCTCTCCAAGCCAAGGGCCTGGTTCTCTCTCCCTGTGGCCCTGGAGCTGAGATTCCCATCTTCTGCCCAGTCGCCCCACACGCTGCCAGACCTCACACCAAACCCTTCCTCTTGGGACCAGAGGGTTCGAGGTGTGTCTGAGCTGGGCCTTTGGAGAGAGGGCAGCCACTGTGAGTTTCTTCTGTTTCCTGTCCCTAGCCCTGGAACAGCTGCTGACGGAGTTGGATGACTTCCTCAAGATTCTTGACCAGGAGAACCTGAGCAGCACAGCCCTGGTGAAGAAGAGCTGCCTGGCGGAGCTCCTCCGGCTTTACACCAAAAGCAGCAGTGAGTGTGGGCCCCGGGCGGTGCAGAGGCCTCCACGCAAATAGAGATGGCTGTGAGTCAGTGCGGGCTGCCATAGCTAAGGACCACAGGCTGAGTGCTATAAACGACACTTCTTTTCTCACGCTTCTGGAGGCCAGAAGTCTAACATCAAGATATCAACAGGTTTGGTCCCTTCTGAGGCCTCTCTCCCTGGCGTGCTGATGGCTGTCTTCTCCCTGTGTCCTCACATGGGTTTTCCTCTGTGTCTGTGTCCCAATCACCTCTTCTTATTTAATTAACTTTTTTGAAGCAGAAGCTCGCTCTGTCACCCAGTCTGGAGTGCAGTGGTGCGATCATGGTTCACTGTAGCCTCAAACTCCTGGGCTCCCAAGTAGCTGGCTCTACAGGTGCATGCCACCATGCCCAGCTATCTTTTTTTTTTTCTTGTATTTGTTTTTTGTAGAGATGGAATTTCACCACATTGCCCAGGCTGATCTTGAGCTCCTGGGCTCAAGCCAGCCACCCTGCCTGAGCCCCTCAAAGTACTGTGTGAGCCACTGCACCCAGCCCTAATCTCCTCTCTCTCTCTCTCTCTCTCTGAGACAAGGTCTTACTCTCTTGCCCAGGCTGGAGTGCAGTGGCATGATCTCAGTCCACTGCAATCTCCACCTCCCAGGTTCAAACGATTCTCCTGCCTCAGCCTCCAGAGTAGCTGGGATTACAGGCACCCGCCACCACGCCCAGCTAATTTTGTATTTTTAGTAGAGACAGGGTTTCACTATGTTGGCCAGGCTGGTCTCAAACTCCTGACCTCAGGTGATCCACCCACCTCG